CCCATTCCCCCCCCCCCCCCCCTCCATCATCTGACTTCGGCGTGTAGTGCCCGGAAATCGTGGCTGCGAACAATACTTGGAATCTGCTCGCGAAGAGTTCGACAGTAGAGAATTCGGGAAAGAATGCAAAATTTGAGGTGCACGTTGGAAAACCCGAACGCAGGGATGCACGAGGAGGAAGAAACGCAGAGCCAAGCCCAAGGAGTCCATGGATTGCGAGAGTAGGAAACCGGATATGAGGTCCGGGGAGGAAGCGCAGACCGGAAATGACCGCCCTTAGCAAAGCGATCAGAAACGGGTTCCACCAGACACTCGAGAGGGAAAAAAAACACCAACTTCCACCCTTCGGCGAAGAAGGCCAAAAAAATGTTTATATTGTACGAAAAGGAAGCTGCGAGTGTCTCTGAGAATCGTTAGAAAAGGAAACGAAGGACGAGAGGAAGTGTCATCCTGTCTCTCTGAAGCTACGAAAGCTACGAAAGCTACGAAAGCAGTGGTGCTAATTGCAAGCGACACCGCCAGGAGTGCATCTCTCTCTAGGTCGGCGGCGACGGCCGATCCTCGCGTTGCGCCGCTAACGTGTTCCTGACAATGCCCGGAGGACAGCTGTCGATTTCGTGCAGATCGACAACCCGTTATCTTCGAGTATTCGCGTCATCGCATTCATTTCGCTAGCAATTGTACAATCTTCAAGACAATTAGGCTCGGCAGCAAAAGAACGAGAGCAGAACGCGCGCGCGCGCGCACGTCTTACCGTTATGACGCTCAAGAATATAAGACGAATCATCTGCGCAAGCACCGACAATATTTTAATTTACCTCGCGCATATACATCTTGGCGCTTCCAACGGATTTCAGGAAGCTTCCGAATTTTTAGAAAATCTGACCGTCCATTTAGGGTCGCAGTAAAGCGAATCAGTATTTAACGTACTCGGCCAACGGCTCCGCCATTTATTCGTCTTCTTTTTCCTCTTCAAGGAGGAGGAGAAGGAGGAGGAGGAGGAGGAGGAGGAGGAGGGGTCGCGGGAAAAGAAGGGTGAGCTGCGAGGAGTTTGACGTTGAAGGACGTCGAGAGATTCGCAGCAAGAGAGTGTGGGTGTACCAGGGAGAATTAACATGCGAAACTTTAGGGTAGAGGCAGAGGCTTTCAGCGAAAGAAAAGAAAAGATGGACAGCCGAGCGAAGTAGTTCATAAGGAAGAAGGAAGAAGGAAGATCGGACGGTGCCGAGGAAGTGAGAACCTCTGAGAGCCAGTCCGTAAGCCAGCAGCAAGAGGGACTGTACTAAAATCAAGTACAGGCTCGCACAAAAGGGAAGCCGCTCTCGCGCTAGTGGATGCAACGGGTCCATACGGCTGACAATGGTGTGCAAAGAAGATTAACAAACAGAATAAGCTAACGTATAATCGCATTATTTCTGGCTAAGCCGCATTTAAATTATATATAAATTCCATTTAACGAAACAATGCCTGAATGATGAGTCACGCGCGAACCGATCGACCGATGTGTATAACTGTAGCGAGCAGTTTCTATAAATGTTCTCTCCTCCATTTTCCATCTCGTAATTCTTTATCCCTTTTTAGGTGGCGATAGAGAAGATCGCGCAAGCAGCAAAGTTCCCTCGTAGTCCTGCGGCGTGCCACCCGGTGTATAGGTGGTAGAGGCATGGGTATGGGTACACAGCTATAGTAGCTATAGTAGCTATAGTAGCTATAGTCGTAGATGTAGATATAGGCATGGGCATGGGTATCGAGGGGTGCCGGCACAAAAAGACTGCGAGGACGGCGTGCCCGCCCACGTGACGGCAGCCATGTTCCTGACGTAATCGTGACGTCACCGGAACGATAGCGTTCTTCGTACATACATAGGCGACATAGGCGACATAGGCTACGTGTATTTATGCCGCGCTTGCTGCTGCTGCTGCTGCTGCTGCTGCACTTCTCCTTCGCAAGACGCACTCAACTGTCAGAGCAGAAGCCCCAAATATCGTTATACTCGAGCGAGGACCGCGGATCTATCGAACCATCGGCGACTAAAGACGTCAGTCAGCCCGAGATCTGTTTCGCGAGGAATAGAAGATGGCCTGCTCGTTGTGTTTACCTGTGCTCCTCCGCCGACAATCGACTGATACGCTGACTGAAACACGCTGCCTAGCTGCGTTAGGCCCTCGTCTTCCATCTGGAACATTATGTCCGCTCCTGGTGATCCATTGTTGTTAAGGTTATTATTGTTGTTGCCCATTAGCTTCTCGGTATTAGCGACGTCACGAAGTATCGTGTTCGACTGCATCTTACGAAGCACTTGAGAATAAAGTGGCGTCCTGGAGGGACAGGGGAGTGGACGTGGACGAGGATGAGGACGGCGACGAGGATGAGGATGAGAGCGAGGAGTTGGAGAAGGGCAGGAGGGGGAGGAGGACAAGGAAGAGGGAGGGAAAGGGGACGGGGAAAGAGACGAGGAAGATGGAGGAGAAGCGAAGGCAGCCGAGACGCCGATTCGAGCGAACGAAGCTCGATTCGCCGAATATCAAATTGTGCTCGCAATGCCGATGCTTCGGACGACGCCGAACTCCCTCATCGCCGCTCACTCAATCGATGCACCACTCCTCGAGTTTTCCTCGCCGTTGTTACCCTCGTACCCCCGTAGTATTCCGATTCGCAATGTCAACTTAGGTTGCTCTCCCCAGGATCGCCAGTCTCATAATTATCACTAGTCTTTTTCGTAAGGCATTCGATATAATTCGTGTATCTGATGCACATACGATATACACACGGTGTTCAGAAAAGTTTGATAGACTTTTCAACGTGCGAGTCGTTTGCTTATCCAGCTACGTAGGCTGAATCTTCTTGGCGTTTCGTTCTCATCGTCGCTGCAAGAGAGACGCACTTCCTTGAAAACACGAGTTTCACTGCGAGCTCACTGTATCAACACTGCGTTTCACTAAATCTTACAGCTTCAAATGGGTCAAACAGTATAAGGCACATGTATAGCAACTTTACGTTCCTCGCAAAGCTGTGTCTGCTAAGAACGTTGATCAAGTGGGAGACACGAGATACGAGGCAGTAGCCATTAAGCATCAATCGAGACACGAGGCTCAATGTGCGACAAAGAGGGAGAAGCCGAATCGCAGGGATGAACAACGCGATAACAGAGCGCAGAAGAACGAACGACAAAGCACCTAGACGCTCAAAGTACGCGACGCGACTGACGCTCGCAGGGGGAAGCAAACGCCAATCCCCTTCCTTGTCGACCAGCAACCCCACTCCTGCCGATTGCGCCCCTGCTGTTCCTCGCTCGCTCGCTCGCTCGCTCGCTCTCGCTGGGACCCAACGTCACGCTCCGTCTCTCTCTCTCTCGCACTCCTCTCTTTCCCTGTGTGTGCGCGCGCGTCAATGTTCCCCCCGTGTAATGATGCGTTCGTGCGCGTGTCGTGTTCTTATGCGTGTGGTGCGTGTATGTATCATCCTCCGTCCCGCTGTCCCTTGGCCCAACGGCCCCTCGGATCAGTCAGCCCCCGGGAAGCAACCCCTAGCGAGAAGGGCCCGTTTTTTTCTTCGAACGAGCACGCCATGTCAGAGCGCGCAGCGCGTCCGTCCCGAAAACATTGACCCACTTGTTGAGTCAAAAACCTCAACTAGTACGAAGCGCTGCTCGCCCTCCTCGCCCTCCACGCCCTCCTCACCCTCCACGCCATCCTGGCGACCATCCTCGTCCCCCGCAGCCTCCACGTTCTCTCGACCCCCACGCGATTTACGACCCTTTTTCTCTGCTTTCTTTACACTGCATCGGGCAGTGCGTATCTGTCGTAGACTCATCCGGATCATCATCTCGGTGCATTCGACTAGAGGGCCTCGGTTTCTCGGTTCTTTCTTTCGATTGCATTAAAAGTTAATTGAGCAGCTAGAAAAGTCTCCTCGAGTCAACTAGTAGCCCAAATAAATTCATAGCAGATTTACATGAATTTCTCCAGCAGTCTCTTGCTGGTTGCGGTCGCGCTCGCAATTACTCTGGATACGCTAGCGTCTCTCTCTCTCTCTCTCTCTCTCTCTCTCTCTCTCTCTCTCTCTCTCTCTCTCGCTCTCTCTCTCTCTCTTGAGTGGTAGCCGGATACGATGAATGAAAGCGCACGCCGGAGGAGCCACAAGGGAACGGATGCGACGTGCGCCACAAGGGTTCACACGGGGAAGCGCGTCGAAATGTAAACGCGAAAGAGTCACAAGGGTTGCGGAGACACACTGGGATAAACGGAATAAGCGCTGGATCATTGTGTCGAGTCGAACTCGGCGTCGGCGTCGGCGTCGGCTTCGGCTTCGAGCATCGCATCGTTCGTCGTCACGATTCAGTCGACGGAAATGGCGACGCGGCGGGCTACGATTAAAAGTTTAACTGGTGTTTACTCGAAGCTAAATTAACCTAAATGGCGGAGGATGTTTGCGGGCAGGCTAGTACCGAAGCGCGACTTTAATGGACACGGGCTGCCATAACGAGCGGAGCGCAATCGCATCTAATTGCTGTATTAATTAATTTATTTATTTATTCATCTGTCGCTGTAGCGTATACAGTGCGAAAGAGCCAATAGCAACTGTCGAAGGCTACTAGATAGATACTACTACTGCTACTACTACTAGATACTCGAGTCATTCGAGGAGAGGACGCACGCGCGCACGCATTCGAAAACGCAAGAGAACAGCAAAAATACTTGAAGGAACCTGAGCTCAGGTGCAGTAAGGACATTCCAAGATTGCTGCTGTAGCTGGTACCTATGTACCTATTTATACCCCCGTAAAATAATTAAAGCCACCGAGTCCCGGTGCGGACCCCATAGAAGCAGGAACAATGGGACACCAGCACGGTACAGTTAGACATCTTCCTACCTGAAAGTTCGCCTAATTCCCTCTGGACGCGACATTCATGTACTTCTTCGCTCTCTCGTGCTGCTACCCCCTTGTCGATCGATCGCGCCGCGTCCTTAGGGGATGAGCTTCCGAATTTTATTTCACTGGATTCGATTCTGGTTTCACTCTGAGTCTTCCAAAGTGTCCTCTGCGGAGCGAGCTATCTTAATCCTGGTACTGGTTGTCACGAGGTCGGCCATACGTCCACTTTAACGAGTACCGAAGGACCGGGACCGGATGACAATGGGGCATGCGTCGTGCGGGTAACTATTTATAGAATTCACGTTGCTTAGTCGTGACGACAACCCTTAATCGAGAGGGGAGGAGGACATCGACTTGCGTCTTCGAAGCCTCCGAAGGCTCGAAGGCTCATGGTCCAATAATTGCTCCTACGATTCTACTTCTTGTCGCTATTATCATTCAAATCCTTTAACTGGCGGCGATCGCCAACTCGTTGGGCAACTCGCCTTAATATTTTGCTCGTTCGATCTTGCCGATCGAAGCTCAAGCTATTCAAGCTATTCAAGCGCGTGATAAATCGAACGCTTATCATGAAAAAAATACAAGAAGGCGCTCGCCACGATGTAGGTGTTTCGTCATTGGACAATTTACAAATAATTAGGTAACCTCGCGCGACCAACTGTGTAAACTCGGTACGTGCAGCTATAATACACCTTTTGCTTGCTCGTTTGCTTCCTTCTCGGCCTAGTCGATGTGTCACTCGTCCCTCCCTCCTTAATCCCAAGAAAATATCTAACAATAAGTTGTAGGTATAGAGAGAGAGAGAGAGAGAGAGAGAGAGAGAGAGAGAGAGAGAGAGAAAGATATAGCCATAGCCATAGACATAGGTAGTGCCTGCGGTACAGCAATATACTATAACGGCATAACAATAGGCACTGAAATAGTTAACGATCAGTCAATGACCCGGAACGCAAAAGAAAGCTCTTATCTTTATGAGAAAAATGAATTTCACGGCTGCTTCGAACTTTAAGATTTATATGGGTTTCCGATTGAGATTCGAATGAATTAGGTCAGGCAAAAAGCAACGCTTAATGCAAGCTGAAAACCGAAAAGGAGATTCGGTAATTCAGTTGAAATTTGTAAAACAAAGAGACGCGCGATTGTCGTTGAGCCGACGCAAGCCGACGCGAGATCCCGAGGTGGGTGTAGAGGGTGCAGAGGGTGCAGAGGGTGGAGAGGGTTGAGAGGGCAAGGGGTGAGCGGCGTACTGCCTCGTCGACTCGAGCTCGGTGGTTCTACCCTGGAACACATTAACTGCAGGGTGGCGGAGGTGGGTCTCGCTCCTATGGGTTGGGTTAGTCCTCCAGTGGCGTAGTGGCGCCTACTAATGCGCATTACGACCAATGGCAAATGGAATTACCTCTCGATTAGTTTCCAAATCTCTCTCTCTCTCTCTCTCTCTCTCTCTTCGTTTCTTTCTCTTGTTCACTAACGCTACATTACTCGCACATCGATCGACTAAGCGCAATCAAATTGCCTTGCACGAATTTTACGGGACACCAGGGAATAAGGAAAAGTTGGAAAGAGTCGGCGCCACTGGAAGGCACTGAGCGAGGGGTGGCAGGAGCAGTAGTAGCGTAGTTAGGGGTGGCTCGGTAGGGATGCTTTAGGGTGAGATTTAGTAGCAACCCCTCCATTGCTTAGTCTACCTATAGCCTCTACACTTCTACAGTGTAGTGTTCTGGGCTGGAATGAAGAACTTGAGATGGCGAAGCGAAGGAAAAGCGACGAGGAGCACAGGGACAGTATGGATAGAGCTACTGCCCCGAGCGCTCCTGCAGCATCAGAGATGCTCTCTTCTCTGTGCCCGAGTGCAGGAGCGCCTAAACACGTAAACGATCGGCACGAAGCCACTTCCGGTATCTGGGTAGGAAGATCCAAGTAATTGGAAAAGGAAATTAAAGGAATTTGAGAGAAATGAAAAACCTGATAAGAGAAAGACTCGTAGACGGGATAAAGATGAGGATCCTCTCGTTCCTCGTTCCTCGCTCCCCGATTTCAAGCTCACTTCAAGACTCTAATCGTACCTCTCACGAGCGAGAGATATTTCTGTAACGTTCGAAGGAAGAGGCTCCCTTTAAGGGAGCGCCTTCGCTTTCGAGCTCCGAGGGGCGAGCTCCGATGTTGCGGGCGAGAGGAAGGGCGCGGAAGGGAGGGGCGAGCGTGCCCCTTAAAGAGGGTCAGAAGGGAAGGAGGAAAGTCAAGTAAACTCAAGGATGGCGGTCCCTTTCATCCTTGCATCTTGAAAAGCGAAAGGAACTCCTGAAAAACTCTACGTTCTACGTGGCACCATATGCCACTGCGAGCCCAGCACCGAGGACCATTATTCGGTCCAGCAGCCTCCTCTTGTACCGCCCCCCCCCCCTGTGCCTCGCTTCTTCTCGCAGGATAATAAAATTCTAATCAGCCCGCTTTATCTTGACGCATCGCGATGACCTCTCAACTCGCTGCCATCCGAGAGAAAGGGAACAGATGGGGTGCAGTGGGGTGCAGGGGGCGCAGGGGAGAGTCAGGAAACCAAAGGAAGGCATCGGCCCGAGCCTCCCCACTTCGAGCACACATTCAAATAGAGATAATGTAAGCTCACGCGGTGTAAGGGATGTTTGCTCTAGGGGTTATTTGCACCCGCGATCACGGCTTTCCGATGAATTTCAAGCCCAACGACTTCATCACGATCCCCCACGACACGAGCCAGCAGCTTCGACCTGGGACTCTTCTCTCTACTGCAGGAAGGTGTAGAACACGCATGCTCGATTCGCGACTTCATTAATTTGCGTTAAAGACGAAGGCAGCTGGTTCGCAATCGCTGCTCGAAGGTGGAGACGACGCCTCGACGCCTCGACGCCTCGAAGGTGCTTATATATACGTGTAGATGGACTGATCGTGAGTCGGGGATGGTAACGGAGGAAATGGACGGAGGTCCGTTAATCGATAAGGGATGAGTGGGCCAAAATTTCACAGGCCGCTACGCCACAAATGAAGCACACTTCAGTTCCCGTTTTAGTCCGTATGATCCACCCTTTGCGCGGACAAACATAACCCCCCGGCAAGAGGAGCGACTGGCCAGCCGCACGCACGTGCGTGCGCGAAAATGCAAGAGCGAATCCCACGAGTGCGCGCACGCGCTTCCCGGCACCAAGGCAAACAGCACCCGGGCGCAAATAAATAGACGGAGGGGCTACCACGAGCTACTGTTTTACATGTCCCTGTCGCAGTCGACAGTCGAGGGTGGCTGCGTGGCTGCGTGGCTGCGTGGCTGCGTGCCTGTTTCCCGCAACGACGACGCCTCGTCATCC